CAATTAGGGTGTACACGGCAGTCTGGTTAGTGTGACTCCTTCTGCATAAATGGGGTGGGGGAGGTTAGCTACCTGATGCTTACTCCCTTCTCTCCACTAAATACCTGAAATTATTGGAATGGATGAAGCAAGATGCCAGTAATTCTCTTTAAATTAAGTGTTTGCTTTGGAGGGCTTTTAAAGGGGAAAGAAAAAAAAGAAAAAAAAAGAGAGCAGAGGCAGAAAGACAGTGGCAAAAAAAAAAAATCCTTAATTAAAGTGCAGGGAACTGACAGCAAAATGAGATAAACCCTACCTTGCAGCTTCTATAGGAAATTGCATATCCCAGCAATCCTGATCAAGAATTCAGATCATTTAGGAAATTAAGGGGGACTGGTTCTTCGGAAGAGTTCAGCACCAGCAACTCCCACTTAATTTGGTCACTTCATTACAGTTCTTCTCCAGGAGATAAGGCCTAGGCAAAAAACAGCCTTTGAGAAAATGCAGATCTTTTACGCAGGACTGGCATCTTATCTCCATCAGCAGCCCCTGCTGGATGGCTCTAGCCAAGTCCCCGTAGAGCATCCCAGGTCCCTCAGCATGATGAAGAGGCTCCTGGACAGCACGATGGGTCAGCAAAGAGCTACCACCTCCTACAAGAAGACACACAGCCAGGTACGACCCCCTCACATGCAGTGTTCATGCCATGGGGCAACGCAGCCGCCACAGTCAGCCCACGTCAAACGTTGGGTGATGCCCTTGACTTCATGAATGAGGTACCTTGGACACTGCAGATGCAGAGGACATTTACTTATGCAGGACAATATGGGCAGGTGGCACTTAGCACACTGCCTAATGACTAAGTACACTTCCCAAGATGCTGCCTAACAAAAGCAGGGATCCATTTCCTTAGACTCCTTGCAGGCTCTCTGTGGGCCAGGGCAGACATTTTCTTTCCTTGCATAAGAAAGGCCTCGTCACCGCCACGTTGCTCAAGCAGAGTCTCACACACCTTGCCACAAGGTGCCAAGAGGAAGACACAGTGGCCAGCACTGTACCAGCACTTCATTTGTGGGGACAGCACTGCCTACAGGAAATGAAGCAAGCGTGCATGCCCAAAATTAGGCTCTTTCCAAGCCAATCTTCTCCTCTTCTCATTCCAGACAATCTCTTGAAGCCCAGCTTTGAAGAAGGCTATGGTCAAATAATGCAAACCCAGAGTATCATCACTGAAGATGGTATCAGTGCACCAGATTAAAGTTGGTGTGAGCACAGGAGGAAGGAACCAGCCTGCAGATAAACTGCTCCTACGCTGTAGTCATGAGGTTCCTGACACTGGCCCAGACTGATTTTGTTTCCCTTCCAAGCAGGGAGACCCTAGGCGTGGCCTCCCCTTCTGTAGGAATAAACAGACAATGGTCTGGTCATGATTCTCTTAGGCTAAAACCCACAGATTGGACCTAGTTATTTTAACTGTTTCTGATGTGTTCAGCTCTCTCTCATTCATGGTGGTGCTGCATCTCTCCTCCAGCTTCCCTCACCATCCCCAGCAGCATTTGTGGCAGCTTATCCGGCATGTCAGGTATGTCTGCTCTGAGGAGATCAGTGCTGCAGATGGGTCCCTTTGTCCCTCTCAGTCCCAGTAAACCTGTCACTCATCCCCACCTGTAAATGGTGGTAACTGTGTGATTCACCATCAGCCTTAGGAGCAAGCACTGAGCCCATCCACAGCAGTACTGCTGCACTAACTAGAACATGGGCAGTCACAACTCTTGGTATTTAGCACTCCTTCCAGGGCTTCAAATCACCAGGACAAAGGGACCTTTGCTACAGGAAAGTATAAGATCAAAGCTGAAATTCAGGATCACCTTGCCTGATCACAGCTTGATACAATATAAAATTATTTGTGTGCTTGGAGTGTGACAGCTCAGAGTCAAAGGACGGGAGTTTCAAAAAGTTTTCTTGCCTTTGAAAAATTTCACTTTCAAGAACACCTTAATCTGCCTGGATTTAACAGACCTGACTCACCTTCTACACCAGCCAGACCCACAGAGATAAATGCTCCTGATTTACACCAGAGAAGAGGATCACAGCTTGGGATGCTGGTTCTCATTTACAAGGAATTTGCTGCCGTTTGAAGGCATATAGGAACCCTGCACTAAGTATAAACTACCACTCTTAAGGTCAGCATGCACTGACAGTACATAACTGGAAATCAGGCTACTGTCTCCACGTCTAGTCTTTACTAGCAGCTGATGGCAGATTAATGGGATGTGTGACAGACGGTCGAACTGGAGCTATGATGGCATAAAAGGGAAGGTACATATATCTGCCTGCCTGGCAAAGTACTGAATATATGAATACTGCAAGCAGATCCCATGGGGAGAACCACGCTTTTAATCACAGTTTGGCATATTTGCCTTTATGGGTCCCAACTTTAAAAGCAACCTCAGATCTGACAAAAGGAACGAGGAAGAAGAAAAAGAGATGAATCTTTGTGCAGACGGGTGTACAAAAGCGAAACTCTTTTCAGTGTTAATGAACAGACAGAAAGACAGAAGGTGAGCAAGATCATATTAGCATTTCCCATTTCCATCTCTAGCCAGAGTAAAATCTCTGTTCTCAAAGCACTATCAGTGACACACCAAGAATCACGTCCTGAAGGCCTTATGGCGTTTACCAAAACTTAATAAACCAAAGAGATGGCTCCCTCATGGGAGTCGAACAGAGCAATCAGATCTCACATCAGAAGTTTTCTGAGGCTGATCACACAGAAGACAGAAGTGTCCCTCCTCACATGTTGATGTCTGCCTCCTGAAGGGCTATTTTCCTATCCAGACAAAACAAACGCTCAGGGCCACACTCTGCACTCAGCAGCACTAAGGGTAACGCGATTGACTGAAGGCAACGTTTAATTTCTGCCTGTCTGCTGACTGTCCTGGATAGCCCAAGCAGTATTTGCACCCCTGACTCTGTGAATTGGGTCCACAGAAAATGCTGCAGAGAGCTTCCCAAGCCCTGGGTGAATGCTACCTACAAAGAGGTAAGCACTTGCTAAGATCTCCCCACTCTTCTTTCCCCTCCAGCACCGCTCAGCTTTGCTCCAGAGCTCAGCAGAGCTGCAGAGTTTCATAGAGGGGTGCAGCAGAGCCACGAGGCAAATGCAGAAAGACCAGAGGGGCAGAAAAGCCCGCTAGCTTCCCCACGGGTCTGCACTGTTCACCAGTGGGTGCTCAGGACCTCACTCCCACAGGGGCACACTGCCACCCTGTGGAAACGGTCCTTCCTCTCCCAGGCGGCTGGGCAAGGACGCGGGGAGATGGCTCGCAGCCTCACCGATCCTCATCAGTTACACTGCTAATGCACCGGCAAGCCGTACACACTTTGGCGCTGTGCTGTAGGAGGGCTCTGTGAATTTAATTTGTTGAGACTAATGCAAATTTAATTTCTGCTAAGTCTTTGTAATCACATATCTAGTGGCAGGGTGACTGCTGCGGACACAGTGATGTAGCTACTGAAATGCACAGTTACTGCCACTCACTCCACTCCCCTCCACTGATAAACTAAAACAGTAAGGGGCAGATCATCAACATATCTTCAGAGAAGCCCGATGAGAGACCGAGGCTGGGTGCCACCTCTGTCCCCAAGACTTCAGGGCAGCACGCAGAACAGGCAGAAAGCCTCAAAAAAGGCGGGACACCAACACGGGGTTTCTTCCATCCTGCTACATCCAAAAAATCCCAAGCCCCAGTCCTTGCTTTGGGTGGGCTGGCGAAGAGCCAGGCAGCCCTAGCATTAGCAGGTTAGCGCTAAACACCAAGATACAGTCC